ATACTACATTTTACTATTGTACTTTTTAAATATAATATTAATTATATAATAATGGTAATTTTTAGTAATATTAATTATATAATAATGGTAATTTTATTTTTGTCGCGTATATATATATATATATATTCTACAGATTAAGAAATCTTCGACGTGTATGAAAATTGACAAATTTTGTTCTTTCTTTTTAAACGTATAAATACTACTATTTATTTTGTTTTATCATGTTATATTATGCTTACTATATTTTTAACTATTTTTCACTTTTTTTGCCGCACTATACTACATTTTACTATTGTACTTTTTAAATATAATATTAATTATATAATAATGGTAATTTTTAGTAATATTAATTATATAATAATGGTAATACTAGTACCGTAATAATATTGAAAGGTGATATCACTTCTTCCTTACAAACGTGCTTTTCAATTTTCAATTTAGGATTCTCGGCAAAACTGCCTTTTGAGAATGTCGAAAAACTAACAGATTGGGACAGTATATTTTGACTACTAACAAGTTACGAAGGTAACTCTTTGTCTAACAAATTTAATTAATGTTTCGTTCGACTCGGATTGTCGGAGTTAGAACTGTTCGAGGTGCGACGTTTCTTAATATAGCCCGGGCTTTTGTTCCGACGACACCGGCGACAAAATCACAGCGCAGTTATTAGACTTCTCGCTAAGCTGGATGCGATGTTAGTTGGAACACCTGAACCTTCTCTGAATTACGCGGTTTATTCCGTCTATGAATTAAACGCTAATTTTCAAGAGCATTCACTAGACGTTTCAGTATATTCCCGTTCAAAAATCTCACGGAAAATTACTACTTACTGTTTTAATATTAGAAAAATTAAATAATACTTCATAACGAAAGATATGCAAATTGTTAATATGTTACATTGACGACTGCAATTAGAAAATTTTATAAAATGATAAACTAATATTGATCATTAATAGTAACGACCTAGTCCTACTTTCTCACATTTTACAGATTCACACGTCGTTGACTGTTTCTTTATACATACATAGTACAAATAAAATTTCCTAGACTTTTTAATATAATTTGCCGGCAACTCTAGTGTTAAAATTAAGAAGTGTTCTAGTACTTTCGACCGGAAAGAATGTACAATATATTAAACCATAATATTTCACATCAATATCAAATCTAAACAAAAGACTCGGGACACAGAGAACCATCGAAGCGTGAACTACCGCACTTTCCAATTTTCCAACGAGAGAATTCAGAATCTTCTTCATTATCGTGCGTACGTACATACATTTCCCCTATCAACGATCTTAAAGAAGAAAAATCGAAGAGAATTAACATTCCAGAATGTTGCTTGGCGTCGGCTCATTAGCGCGTAAAGCGAGGAGCGTGGTCAGTCTAATAAGCAGCATTAATAGCCTTCTTTCAGCTATCTCGGCCGTTCGTCCCAGCGCGGCGGATTGCTCGAAAGGAATACGATTGCTCGAAAGGGAAGGAAACAAAGAGGAGCAGGTTACAAACGTACGTCTGACGAAAAGCGTACACGCACTGATTGCGAAAGAATTCGCCTGGAAGCTGCGAACAGCGGTGTTGCGTTCACGTAGAACCGTCGAGATGCTCGAGGAGAATAGGCGTGTGCGTGGTTACAGGTGGACGCGCGGCGCGTTGGCGAAGGCGCGCCGTCATAAATCTGCCAGGCGATGGCAAATTAAATCATTATCTGGAAGCTGTGAGCAAATTGCGCCGATGCATGCTTCGCGAGACTCCTCCCTTCCTCGTTTCCTCTCCTCTCTCGCCGTTCTCTCTCGTCTTCATACGTTTCTCGGCATCTACCATTGTTCTTGCGCTTCTCTTCTTACCCCGGGTTCGTAAGGTTCGTTACCACCTTCGCGGTTCTTTCCTTCTTTCCTTTTTCTTTTTTTTCTGTTTCTTTGAAACGTCGTCACCGCGCTACGTTCCACAGTAGGGATGGGATCGAGTCCAATATAATAATAATTGAACACCTAGCGCGATTCCTCTAGAAAGTTGATACTTTTGTTTCGATTGTTAGATCTATCTTATATAGATCTGTTATAGTCGCGACATACTCGTATCGGTTAAGACCTACAACTGGTATGTTTGTGATAATGCGTGTATGTATTATTTATATAAGCAGCTCGAAACGTATTGTCAACGTTCATCTTTGTAATAAGAGCCCGCTGAGTAAAATTGTTATTTCTAAGTAAATTCCAAAGTGATTATTACCTCATTAATTATTATAAAGCCACGTGCTCCAACATCGTGCAGTTACAAGTTCGGTGAACATTCTTCTATCGTTGATTTTCTACATCCTCTGAACGATCTGTCGACGAATGCTCATCCCGCCGAAACTAGATCCCGCTTAGATTCGAATTATACTTGGAAATATTTATGAAACATTCGAATAAGATAATTGAAGATTCGAAGCTACTCGTGAGGTACTCGATCCCATCTCTAACCTGTTCCAACTTCCGCGTGCGAGTTTCTCCTCGCGATATCCACTAACCCGTTGGACGTCGACGATATACGTTCATATTCGTAAATTTCGGTTTTGCGGCGCGTGGCGAAACTGTTCTCTCTCTCTCTCTCTCTCTCTCCATTGGCGGTGGCCAACTTAGAAATGTAATTTCGCTGGAACGGAGTCCTCGGGATACGGGGCGGACGCCGCTTTAAACGCGGATACAACTGCCACCAATTGGGGCTGTTTTATAAGTGCCAGACGCGCCACGCCCGGAAACGCGGTCGTAGGAGAAATTGGCGAGGTGAACTGGCTGCGGGGATTACCGTTTTACCGAGTATTTTGCACGAGCGAGAAAGAAACTCTGCAGAAATGATATCGATCCTCTGTGCGATTCAAAGAAGCTCGATTAAACGCGTCGTAAGTGGGATAGATTATTTGTTTTTTTTTTTTTTTTTTTTTAATCGATTGAAATTAAGTTATTTGCCATTCTTTTACTTCCATGAAATCTTTGCGTTAGTTTTTATTAGTAGAGTAAGAATTTTTACAGAAATTAAAAAATAGAAATTCTTTTGTCGTTGGAAATTTTTTATAATCACACACACACACACATATATATATATATATATATATATATATATATATATATACGAAATATCTATTTTCGGTATTTTAATATTTCTGCATATTCTCAGTATTTTGTTTTATCCATATTTTTCTGCAAACAAACAGAGCACGAACGTTGAAAACTAAATCTCGCTAACGCGCGTTGAGCACATACACACAGCTGTAGCGTGTTATTCATTTACTGCCATCATTGTGTCATCAAGTTGAACATAAACTATAAAGAGAGAGCGGAGACAGTTCACGAACGAGAATTCAGCGGAAGGACGTGTGTTATTCTTTAATGGAAAATCGTACAGTGATGTCTACAAATGTTTTCATTAATTTCCCGTTCTTGTTTAACGTCGATCTATAAATATCTTTGTTGGTACTACCGACTCTGATATTTATGGTATACTCACGATATTGAATTTCGTATAAGAAACGGAAATCGAAAATCGGTTCGCGATAGCGGTAATTGAGATTGTAATATTTTCTCGCGATGATAAACAATAATAATTAAACGAACAACAATAAAGCATAATTGTCGTATAATAAGTTTTCATCGTTTGCTTCCGATATCGGACAATCGAACTTAAAGCTACGCGTCTGTGTCTTACGGTCGATATGAAAATTCAAGTGGAACATCCGTACGATAAATCAGACGCAACGAACGTGCCCGTATTTTCCGTTCTCCTACTTCTACCTAATTTGCATCGTTGTTCATCGACAATTCGTAACGCCAAAATTACGTCAGCAGTCTTTATTGTTGTAACTGGATATTACTATTGTAACTTATTAAGTTGCAGTCAGTCACGATTTTAAATTGACAGGTATTAGGATCCTATTTTTGTTATTCGAAATAAATAGGAACAAAAAAAATTGTGAAATCTACTTTATAAATAAAACTATAATAAATCTACTTTATATACTAAATTGTAGTTGAAATATATTATTATTATTATTATTATATTTTAGTTGGAATAAATCTTTAAGTAACAAATTAATCAAAGCATACAAAATGTCCAAAATCCCTCTCACTCCGTTTCAAAAACCTTCGTGACCGACCGTACGTACATTTCATTTATCGTTCCCATTGAAACGCGAAATAATAACGTGGTGAAGCAAGGAGAGCAAAAGGGATCAGAGAACAGGGAGATAAAAGTGTAGAACTCACCAGACCGTCGCAGGTGGACAAGGCAACCTGGGAATTCCGATGTCCCTGAATGAAACCTCGATAATGGCACTTGCTCGAGCGATTTTTTGGCCGGCTGCGGACATGTACGTTCCGTTTCCGTCTTTCGACGACCATCCCTGGCCCGATGAAGTTGTCCACGGCCGTCAGCTCGATATGGTACTCGTTACCGGCCACCGACAATCGATAGTGCACCATTCGCCCATCCTCGTGATGATGGTGGGTCACGTTGTGCGAGATAAGCTCTCCTCGGTGAGTCACCTTCCGAGGTATCACTATCTCGTGCCCGTGAACGTGCTTCTCCAAGGTATATATGCCTGAAATGCACACGATTTTGGTAAATTTGGTTTCGTGGAGAAGTGGCATCAAATTGCAGCACTGATTGATACGCGGCACAGAATAGGTATTGCATGCAATGTTCCGCGCTTTCGCAGAAGACTGAATCTTAATGTAAAAATATTCTACGGGCACAAGAGAATGAAAATTTACACGGAGTGTCCTCGTGAAGACACTCAACTGGAGTAAGCTATAGTTTTGAGATTCTCTTTCGTAGGTAAAACGAATAACGAGTTCAAAATTCATTGATAATGTCTGTTCGTTAGTTGTGTATATTACAGTTGCTCGGGAAAGTATTCGAGGAATACTCGTAGAAATATTTCACGAGTATACGTGTATTATGTTAAGTATTTTAACGCTTTATTGGTAATGTAATGGAACTCTACTATCATGATTATGTTGGTTAAACTTGTAACTAATAGACATTGCACATACATATAAAATCAATTCAATGTATCAATATAATTGTCGATACTTGCTATATTACATTGTAAATTCTGACAATTGTCTTAATCGCTGTTTGGATACTGAAAAATGCCGGAATCAACTGTTTTATGTAACAAAAGGAAAGTGGTTATTCTATAGCACACAAAAGTTCTGTAATAAATATTTAAATACTTTCGCGAGCCACCGTGTCTATACGATCACATCATTATCACATAACAAATACCAATTTAAAACTTTCTTTCGTCTTAAAATTTCCTCCATCTCCTATCGTTTCAGAACTGCAACATATTCCACTCACGCAGAGCACTCTGTATGGTGCTTAACGTAATTTCTCCCAAAAATTGTTACTCAGCTTCTCGAATCGTCTCGGAAAGAAACAAAAATTGCGCTCGCCGGTCAAGTAACGACCTGTTTTGCGCCGTGAGTTTTCCTTGAAATTTATTCGCAACGCGCGATAAATCTCGCGCGAACGTTCCGCGAAGGGACAGCAACCCGCGTAAAACAACGTTAGATATTAATTGACTGTTTACCGGCGGCGGTTTCGCCGGAGTAACGCGAGACAACGCGGATTGTGGCGTGGCAAGGAGAACGGCCGACGCGGAGGGCAGAATTCAACCCGAGGGAGGCTGTGATTGATTACGGACACCCGGAGCTCGTACCGAGCAATATTTCAAATAAATAATTGCATCAACGTTACCCGGTGCTTCATTAAGACAGCTATCGCGACATGATTGCAAACCGGGCCTGCGCGTGAATAACTCACGGATATCATTCATATTCTCGAACGTCGCGCCCCGTCTCGAGCGATTGTCCAAAGCACTTGGAACTGTAACGCTGGAATTCTACCGTTGGAAGGACATTTGAAATACATTCGTTGAACCTTGCACAACGTTATTTGTATTTCGTCGTTGCATCTTGAAAATCGACAGAACTGCGGTGAAATTCTTGCGAGGGTCAATTTGACCAATTAATTCTCACTCTTCTAAGCTAAAGAATATTAACTCGGTGAGATTTAGAGTACACGTCGAGATTTAGAGATTATGGTTTGTTTTATTATTATATATATATATATAAATATATAATATAATATATTTTATTATTATATATTTATAATTTAATATTAATTGTTTTATTATAATTTATTGTTTCTTGAATTCTCTGCGATGAAGTTAATATTCTTTAAAGTAAAGTTAATATTAATGTATTGTTGTTAATATAGGAGCATAAAATGTACATCGTGGTAAATAAATGTTACTCTTTACTGAAAGTTCACAAGCGCACACGTGTGTAAAATTTATAGGAAATTTTTCGCACACTGTAAAGACGATGTTCTTCCTCAATCTAGTGTGCATAAGACCCAGGGAATTAGAGATAGCATGCACGGTTTATTTCTCATTGTTAGTAACAGTAGTAAAGTAAAAAATTCTTAGCAAAAGACTGAAAGATAGAAAAGTGGAAAATTGTTCGAAAGGCATGAGAGAAGCTTGTACAGAAATGTATTATACTGGGAAATAATTGTGTTGAAAATTTCGTAATTACGTTGCGAATAATTATCGCATCATCCTCGTGTAAGAAATATTTCGCTCGTGTTTCTCGAAACTGACTTTCGTAATGAAGCTCTTCTTGCGTCAAACAGTATAATTTTGCACCGCGCAACTGGTTCGCGTGGAGTTTGTTGTTTGGTCGGTTTGTTAGTTGATAACGTTTTAATGCTCTCTGACGTTTTTACGAACGCTCTTAATCCCGCTATGGCTCCAGGGGGGAGGTGGGGAGGGGGCTTGGCACGATAATAAAACTTCATTTTTCATCATAAATGGAACTTTCTCAAGAAAATAACATCGCTGCTGGATAAAAGAAAATTCGTAAAAAAGAGGAAAAAATTACAGCGAAGAGAAGTTCGTTCTCCGAGCATCGCGGTGAATTTTATCACGAATTTCTATATGATTCAAATGGAGAGACTGACAAATTTTAACCCACTAAGAACCAAGCAACAATGTTTCATAAATGATTATAAAAAGTATTAACAGTAAAATAAATAATAATTTTGTAAAATTATGAAAAGTATCATACCTTGGAATTTTCTTCAAAATTATTAATTATTTACTAAAAGATTTCAATGATCTTAGAACATGTATGTTTATATGTTCGTATGTATTTTCTTAATATTTAATAAAAGAACACCTTTTCTTTTATATGAATACAAATTTACATCCTTTAATGTATTATAAATCTTTTCCTTGCAGTTTAGTTTAATGCACTTTAACACAAATTTTATATTTCAATCGTCGGTAACTGTTAAAAACACCGTGTATTTCTCAGATAAATTAAAAAAAGAAATATTTCGAGAGCCTACGTGAAACTCTTTCGAAATTTTACAGAATAATATGTTTCATTTAGAAATTAAGAATTGGAAACTTTTTGAAAAAAACGGGAACACGATTGAATAGAAAATAATCGACAAGTACCACTCAAAACCTACTATTGTATTCTTAATATACAGAAGTGATTCTTTTATTGAATAATGAATCAAGGCTCGCTTGTGAATCTTACACGACAAGCTTCGCAGCGTAACGACGTGCCGCGTGAATGAAAAATAGATAAAAATGTTAAAATAAAATAAAAAAAAGAAACAAAAAGAAAAAAAAAAGAAAAATGGAGGGAGAAAAGAGGGCGAGCTGAAAATGAATGTAATGCAATTTTCAACGGTGGCAACGCCTGTGTTAATGTGAATAGAAGTTGGAAAGGAAGATTGAAAAGTATCCAATCCGCTACGAATACTGTTTCCCAGCCTCTATACTCTATTCACCGTTGACTTCACCGCATAATGAGTTCCATGAGCCAGAATAAAAAAAAGAGAGAGAGAGAGAGAGAGAAAAGAACAAATTACACAGTGTTTCGCTTGTCCAACTGGAACATGAAAATTAATGAGATGTCGTGACTGCAGGTAACGTTAAACATTATTCGGGAGTTTTTTTTTTTTTCAAACAAGTCAATGCCATTAATACGTCTACAAAGATGCAACGATCGACCGTGATCGTACAGCGTGATCTTCCTAGTTCCCAGTTACAGCAATATAGTCAAACTTGCTGTTTGTACGAATTTGCCGATGGACAAGTAACTAATATAATAGAAGTCCACCGATTCTCTTCTCTGATCATTTTTTCGTTCGTATAAGTCCAGGTTCATAAGGTAAGTGGATGCAACTAGCAAGAATTCATTTCATTCTGAGTGCTTGAAATTACCAAAAGTCTACAGCCAACGATATTCACGAGCATCAAAATATATCGACGATTCGTTGGCGTATCGTGATTCGTCCATTGCGGGCGCCGATCGATCGGTCGAACGACAACTTACTATTGTCGACGGTGATCTAACGTCTAATAGAATAATTGTGGTTAGCCTCTGGCCGAGGAGGACAGAAAGAAAAGGACGCCGGGAATGCAGCCACGGTTCAGCTGCGATAATATGTCTTCATGTAAGAGCGGCCTGACAGTTAACGTCGTTGAGATCCAATCTGCATACCGAGATCGGATATCGTCTTCAATGAAACGGACAGGCCCGTTCCACATTTTTCCTCCGCGAACACAATCGACTGGCTTAATAAAGATCGCGCATCTCCGCGTCATTTTCTTTGATGTCTAATCTTTTCTTTGATGGCTTCTTCTCACGAGTTTGAATGAATGAAGTTGACATTTTTTCCTTTTTTCTTTTTTTTTTAGGAAAGACGTTGCTTAACGTTGCTTTTCACGACGATCGGAAGACTTTAGTTCGCTCGTTTTGTCGCAGCTGAACCAATCGATAGACACATTACTTATTACGTAAGTTAGTTGAGTAAGAATATTTCTAAACGAGAGTTTCGAAAGGAAGCTCTTGGAGAGAAATATTGTTCATTTCCAGACTGTATGTTTATGCATGCAATTTTATATTTTAATAAGCACGAATTCACTTCATATTAAATGTTTGCGATCGTACGAAAATACTATTAAATGATACAAAATTCAATGTACGTGGATTTAATTGTACTAGTATGTACAGTGGCTTAAGGAAATATCTGTACTTCATGTAAAACATTTTGAAATTTCATTACAACACTGCAACGAGAGACAATGATATTGGTAAAGTTTGAAATTAATTTCAAATTTCAAGATATTTATCGCAAACGTGTAGTCAATAAAAGACTAATCTACAGATAGATTTTACTGAACATTGAAATTTATTAATATAATGGATTAAATAATTTCTATAATATATTTTGCGATATAATCTTAATTTCTATAATATATTTTTCAATTTCTTTCAAAGTGTTTTATGTAATACACACAATATATTCATAAAAAGAATATTCGAATATTTCCGTGAACAATTGTAAATACTACATGTCAGAAACAATGGTATGCAAATGCTTTTACAAATCTTTTCTTACTTACTTCTATATTTTGTAAATTTCCGGAGCTTCCAATTTCCCCCCTCCAAAGAAACGCATAAATATCCACACGTCTATTTATTGCGAACGAATGGACAGCGATAAATCTAT